GATGTGTATAAGAGACAGATATAATATAATATATATATGTGTATATATATATATATATATAATATATCTATACACACACATACATATACATGAATTAGCTCAACTAACACGATTGTGGTTATTAATGCTTCGCACAATGCATTAGGTTTATTTGGCCTATAAACATTAAACATGTGCATGTTGTTTATTATATTCTAATAGGCCTATAGCTTATATCTGGGTTTTGGCACCAGTTAAATTAAATAAATTGTTTTTAATTATTATTATTTTATATTTACCTACTATAATTACTATATTTACTATTTTTTATTTAAATTTTATTTTAGGCTTTCAAGATTTAGGCTGCTTTTATGATTACTTAGAAGATCGAACGCTTCCTGGCTTGAAAGCCTGTAATTTGCCAGAGGCTGAAGAAATGTGCGATGAATGTACATCGGAACATCCATACTGCGAAAACACGCAAAGCATGACTGTTTCCTTTTGTACAGATTTATGCCACAGACGAGGCTTTCTCTACTCAGGGTTAGAGGCGGGAAATCAATGTTTTTGTGGAAATAACTTCGATCCATTAAATCCACCGAATGGTAAACCACCGAATAACGATAATTGTACTGAACCTTGCTCAGGCGATTCAAGTCAGATTTGTGGCGGAGATTTGCAAATAGTTATTTACAAAAGTAAGTAGTCCTAGACAAAGTTAGGTCTGTAAAATGATAATCAAAATTGGTCGTAGAATGTTTCTAATATCACCTTTAACCACCAGTTTTTGTAGAATGTGTTATTACTTTATGTGAAATAGCCGTACTAATTTTCATTAGTGTTAAACATTAAGGGATAAACAGATCTAAGGGTTTTAAAGACAATTTCATGAACGCCAATCGATAGATAGGCTATATAATCCACTATCAAAGGAATTAGACTTGAAATCAATGACATCTTCATATTGAAATATTTCGGCCATTTGCCCTGACATCATCATCATATGAACATGGCTAAATACAAGAAATGTAATAAGACTGTTCAGAAAGTATAAATTTGTTATTATATTATATAAACATGATTCTAATACGAAAATAGCAGAAAAAAGTCGAAAATAGTCTGATTAATAACTAAAGAAAACACTTTTGAATAATCTATTTTTTTCAGTGGTATCATTAAATATAAAAAAAAAGAACAAAAAAAACAATGACCGACTTTTATTACATATTTATTGAGCATAACATAGTCTTTTAACTTTTCTTTTATTTAGATGACTACTTCATGAACTGTTCAACATCAATTGACTTCAGTAATGGTTCCGTTACTCCGAAACAAGACATATATACTTCTGGAATAACTGTAAACTTTACATGCAATGACGGATTCTACCAAGTGGGACCTACAAATTCATACTGTTGGTATTCAGGCGAATTCAGTCATGTGTCTAAAGATGCACAACCCAGATGCATAAGAGAATGTGCAGAGTTAAACCACGATAGCATTACTGAAGTTAATCGAACGGTTCAATACCAAGGATTTTTCATTGTTGGAGATACCATAACTTACGTATGTAGTGTAGGTTATGAGTCAGTTTCTGGTGTTTCAGTTGGTGACGTAAAATGTACAGAGAATCGAATTTGGACAACAAACTTTCCAGTATGTGAAGGTAATTACTATTCTCTTGTTAATCAAATTATTAATATAAAAACTTTTTTTAATTTAAAAATAGTGGTTATCTATTACTTTAAATTTTTATATTTTCAGGTGTTTCATGTGGGAATCCTGGAACTCCAAATCAGGGTGAACTCATTGGTGAAAATTTTTTCTACCCAAACAGTGTTAGCTACATATGTCAACCTGGATACACTATTTTCGGGTCTACAGCCAGGACGTGTCAAGCAGATAAGGCTTGGTCGGGAACATTACCATCGTGCAGTCGTAAGTCTTCCAGCTGTATACATAGTTAAAAATTGTGGTAGCGCTTGCCTGTGTAAGAAGTCAGTTAGGTAATAATATTATATTGGCTTAATGTACGTAATAATATAAATTAATAAATTCTGATCACCTATTACATATTAGTTTGCCCCTAGCTGGTCGTATCTGCCATACTGACACATATTTTTGTTTTAGCTAATGACTGTGGTAACTTGGACAACATCGAAAATGGGATGACTTCCTATACTGGTACAACGTTCGGCATGAATACTACTTATACATGTAACATCGGCTATAATATAAATGGAGTGATGATCAGAACTTGTGAACCAAATGGACTTTGGTCGAGGTCAACTCCCACTTGTGAATGTGTAGAATAATAATAAATAAGAATTATATAGCTCTCATATCCATAAGAAATGCTCAATAATAATTGAAAAAGCAAAAAAAGGTTACCTGAAAGCAAAATTGGTCAATGAAACTGTATTTTTTAGTGTAATTTTTAGAGAAAATGGAAAGTATTGTTTTTCTGATGCTAGTATTTTCTTTAATCATGTTTTGTGATAACATTTTACCTGAACTTATTCATTACAGTTGTCAGCTGTGGCGATCCTGGTTCAATAATAAATGGAATAAGGATGGGTACTAACGAAACTTACGGAAGCACAGTAACCTACGTCTGTAACACTGGATATAACCTGCTGGGTGCTGCAAGTGTCACATGCCAATCTGATGGCACATGGTCACAGAGCGCCCCTGTTTGCCAAGGTTAGTGATTTCTTTTGATTTTTGATTTCGTATATAACTAAGTAACTAATTGTAGCAATTATGATATCATACTTGTCAATAATAGTGTATTAAAATTTGTATAATATTTTGAAATTTATGATCTTTTAATGTTTTTTTTCAGTTGTTAATTGTGGGATAGTTTCTGTAGGAGAAGGGGTATTCGTAAATGGCGGTATTTTCACTTACAATGCTGTCCTAATGTTCACATGTGACAGAGGATACAATAAAATATCAGGCGATACCACTAGAACATGTCAGGCTGACGGCAACTGGTCTGGAAATGACTTGGTATGCGAAAGTGAGTATACAATCGTTAGAATACATGAACTAAAAGGATAGGAATAGTTTCCGTTGCAGGCTATGTGTTTGTTGTTTCATCTAAAAAACGGAACAGCACTTAAAAAGATCCAAGGCCAACCAAATTAAAATTACTTACTGTAAGTGTAACAATTCCATGGGCCAATTGCCAATCATATGGGTGTATATAGTTGTTGTGGCTGACCCACAACAACTATCTTTGGATCTGGAAGCTTTCTTCCGACGTTTAAGATGCCGTGATTTTTTCGCCGGTTCCGACGGTAACACCACGGATAACACGGGCAATGTTATTAAATTCAAACCTAAAAGTACCTGGAATCCCCCTAAGAATCGTTGCCCAGCTTTAGAAACTTTCATTCAGGCCATTGAGGAGGACGTTAAAAACCACACTCCTAGTCCAGATTTCCGCGACAAAAAAAAAATGAGAGGCAGGCCATCGCCAATTTGCGTCAGCGTGATGATATTATCATCAAACCAGCT